AATGAGATGATAAGAATCCCTAACCCAAGTATCTGATAAGGCTACTGAAACTGTGGCTTTACCTGCAATGACTGAGATTTCTGACCAACTAATTCCTCCACTCGACCCTGATAGTAGTCATGGAGTTCTTGCTTCATGGCTTTCATTTTTGCTGCCTGGTCTTCTACTTGTCTTTCAAGCTTTGCCTGCAAAAATGCAAACCAATTTGGAGAACTTTTAGGACTCTAAGTTTTGACAGGTAAATCATATGGACCGAGTGCATCCTGTCGGCCAAGGAGGAGGAAAAGAAGAATTAAGGAGACTTGATGGGAAAGGATGGATGACTGGACAGATGGGAGGGTGGATGAGGATGAGGATGAGTTGTTGGAAGAGAAGGAGAAGGAGAAGGAGAAGGAGGAGGAGGAGGAGGAGGGTCTTCCTAGTAAAATACTAGGAAGACCCTCCTCCTCCTCTTGCCATATTCAATCCAGACTTATCTTCAGAAATGACTGAATTAATGTTTTACAGTCAATCAAAAGGGTCTTCCAAGTTTTCTCTATCATATTTGATTTAGAATTATCTTCAAATCTGTCTATGATTCAGTTGAAGTTTTAGGACAGCAGTGGAAGTGTCCCACGTATATAAGGACTATCTTTAAAACTACAATACAAATTTACTCATTTTTGATGATAATTCTGTATTGTATGGGATAGAAAAAACTTGGAAGACCCTTTTGACTGATTGTCAAACGTTAATTTAGTCATTTCTTATATTTTACTGCTATTTTTTGTTCACAAACGTAAGGACTGTCTTTAATTTTATCTTTACACAGAAAGACTGTCCTAAATTTGGTGTTATGCAAATTTCCCTCTGTTGAAGATTATTTCACTTTGGGAATAATGAGAAAAGTTTCGAAGCCACTTTTGATATATTATCAAACATTAATTGAACAACCTCCTACCTTTTTATTGCCGTTTTTCATAAAAAAAAACAAACATAAGTAGCTTCGCCCACCTTTTCAGCTGCTGTAATGACAACAAACGCAGGCGTGCCACATCACATTCAAATATACTAATTGTGTAATATTACCATCACGATATCAGTAAGATCTATTGCCATATTTACCATATCTTATTATTACAGCAGGTTATCAAAATAGGGTCTATTTTAATTCTATTACCAGCATTTATCTTGAGATGTGGCAACAGTGCAAATCAGAGATAAAATTGCAAAGTAAAGTCCTAGACCAGGGGTGGCCAACCTTTTGTGAGATATGATATACTTTTACAAAAGTTACCCTAATGCGATTTACCAGCCTATGATTCAAACTTATACATAGTTGTATGTTGTTCAGACATGTCCATCATTATAAATATAAACATAACTTATTCACAAAAAAAAGAGAAATATAATAATCCAAGTATCATGAGTACTTGGATATGCAGCTATTTGCATAACAACTTCTAAAGGATGAATTATTAACAGGTACAGTAGTGTGATCGAATTAAAACAGGCTTGTGATCGACCAATCAATTGCGATCACCTGGAGAGAAGAAAGAGAGAGAGAGAGAGAGAGAGAGAGAGAGAGAGAGAGAGAGAGAGAGAGAGAGAAGAGAGAAGAGAGAGAGAGAGAGAGAGAGAGAGAGAGGAGAGAGGGAGAGAGGGAGAGAGGGAGGGAGAGAGGGAGAGAGAGGGAGAGAGAGGGAGAGAGAGGGAGAGAGAGGGAGAGAGAGGGGAGAGAGAGGAGAGAGGGAGAGAGGGAGAGAGAGGGAGAGAGGAAGGAGGAAGGGAGGGAGGAGGGAGGGAGGGAGGGAGGAGGGAGGGAGGGAGAGGGAAGGGAGAGGAGAGGAGGGGGAGAGGGGAGGGAGGGAAGGGAGGGAGGGAGGGAAGGGAGGGAGGAAGGGAGGGGGAAGGAGGGAGGGAGGGAGGGAGGCAGGAGGGAGGGAGGGAGGAGAGGGAGGGAAGGAGGGAGGGAGGGAGGGAGGGAGGGAGGAGGGAGGGAGGGAGAGAGAGAGAAGAGAGAGAGAGAGAGAGGAGCGGAGGGAGAGGGAGAGGGAGAGGGAGAGGGAGAGGGAGAGGGAGAGGAGGACGAGCAGAGAGCAGAGAGAAGAGAGAGAGAGAAGAGAGAGAGAGAGAGGAGAGAGAGAGAGAGCAGAGGAGAAGGGAGAGGGAGAAGGGAGAGGAGAGGAGAGAGGGCAGAGCGAGAGGGGCGAGAGGGAGAGAGGGAGAGAGGGAGAGAGGGAGAGAGAGAGTGTCAGATATTGTCTTCCCCTGACTTTGGTGGGTGTATGGAGACAATTCTGCATTGGTTGTTTATTGTTAAGAGGTGGTAGGTAGCAAGGGTGAGGGGCGAGCCCAGGGATGTGAGAGTGCGCGTGGGAAGACTCCCCGGAGGAGCCATCCGGATCAGGCGCTAACCCAGGGGCTCTGGTCAATAGCGCTGGGGACGTGGACAGCTAACCCTGGTTCCTCAGTTCGCTTGGCATACGCTATTAAACCGTTCATCCTCGACGGGATGTGCTGGTGTTACTAAAGAAGTACACCAGGGGCAGAGACAGGAGGAGGGGGGGGGGGTTGTATGACAACATGGGCCATAAGATATGATAAAAATATATCACACTGCAATGATAGTATGATTAGGGAGACAATTGCAATCTTCCGTAAGGACTTGCTTGAGTTGCAATTGTCTCAGATAGCAGGAGATGAAAATCTATGAGAGATAAGCATTGTGCAGAACTACAAGGATGCAAAAGGTTTCGCAGTACGCAAGAACGCTTCGGAACAAACTAACTTCCTTGGGAAAAAAGGAAAATGCAACAATGCAGAGTTCAGCAGTGCGCAGTGTAATAGTGCATACTGTATACGTCTGACTAATAGTAAGTAAATGTTCATTTTATTGAAATTGTCTATCACACATCAACAACAGCTAGGCAAAGTGATAATGAAATTAGGTAATGCAGTCCTCATAGTTTGAGAGCGACTCATTACATCAAATATGCTTTCCCAAGACAACATATGCACGATGAGTACATAATGCAAGAGAAGAATACATGATTGTTGCAAGTCAATTATTTTCTCAGAAACAGTACCCTTGCAATTCTTGTGCATTTAACAGGTTTGTACAAGACGATGTGCGTATGTGGCTGCGTGAGTGGTGAGTAGACTAGGTGAGTAAGTGAAGGAGTGAGAGTTACCAAATGAGCAAGCCCGAGTATAGGACACGCATAGAAAACATTAATGTTCAGATTACATTTAAAAATATTAAAATACAGATCAAAGCGAGAGTGACTGAAAAAGGAATAGGATGGCGTGGAAGTTGGAAGAAATAAGCGAAGGGGAGAAGGAGTGGGTGGGCGGGAGGCTAAGGAAAGGATGGGGAAGGGTGGGGGGTGGGGGTAAAAGAGATATGGGTGAGGATGGGGGTGAGGGTCAGGTCTGTAGGTGTGGGTGGGAATGTGGGTTGCATGCCATGAAAATAATCACCGATCTGATCGCGAAAAAACTTTCACACAAATAACAATAAACTTACTTTAACTGCAACATTAATCAACTACAATGCGAAATCATAAAAATAGTACTTTAATTAGTACGTAAAATGAGTGAAACAGTGACAGGTTTGTTGCAGAACAGACTAAGGCTTGCAGAGCAATGCACGATACAAGCGGGTTTGGGTCAGCTTCTCTTGGGCAACTGACAGCCTAAAGACAACCTTCATGGTTGTAAATGATATATACTTAAAATAAATTCCCTGAGGAAAAGTGATGACGGACCCAACTGTAGAAAAGGGTATTATCAAACAAACTCATACGCAGAATGCAAATTGGGCATCCCATCTTGTCGGGAAATACCAGCAATAATCTCACATATAGTTGTAAAAGAAAGGGCGTGGGGCAGCGCTAGATCGCTCTGCCAATAGTTGTGGAGGTGGATATTCAAAAATATCCTACAAATGCATAATCAAACCAAACAATAAAATTAATGTCGATATTACATCGGTTAATACAATGGGAGATAATGAGAATAAGATAGATGCAAAGAATATGGCAATACCTGTAACTCTAGCTAGGTAGTCTAGAATGTCTGTAGGAACATAAATTAATTTAAAGAAAATGCATGCTATATTTCACCCACATAAATATAAGATTTAAGCATTATAAACAATTTATGCTAACTAGGCTAGCATGATCGAGTTATATAGAGGAATATAACTCTCTCAAATAAAAAAATTGGGACTGATTCCCTTAAGAATACGGCAATCCACCATGATGAAAAAACATGGTAGGTAGCAGAAAAAAGGAAAGAAAATGCACTTTGCATGGATACTTGTTTAGATATTTTTTTTTAAATCACTGCACTTGTAAAAAAACTCGTACAGCATGCACACATGGGAGAAGAAAGGGGAAAGAAAAGAAATGCCCGTGGCGTACTTACAATTCTTCGGAGAGAGGATGTGATCTAGCAGTGCATCTTGAAGGAGGCATGGAATTTGTGTCGCAGCTGCATAGAGTGACATCCGCTGTCTGACACCAGTTTGTCAGGGTTTGTTTTCCCCTGATTTGGTGGGTTATTGAGATATAGTTCTGGTTTCTTCCTTTATTTGGTTGATGTGCTGGTCGCATGGCATTGGCTGTCTTATGCTAGGGCAAGTCCAAGGGGAGCCCAAGAGGCACGCTGAGCGGGAACGCACATAAGGAGAGACTCCCAGCTGGAGCCATCCAGGTGAGCCCATGACCCGGGGTCAATTGTGTGGAACCACTGAAGAGCAGGTCACTGGTCAACAGCACTGGGGACGTGCACAGCTAACCCAGGTTCCTCAGAGAGAGAGAGAGAGAGAGAGAGAGAGAGAGAGAGAGAGAGAGAGAGAGAGAAAGAGAGAAAGAGAGAAAGAGAGAGAGAGAGAGAGAGCGAGAGAGAGAGAGAGAAAGAGAGAAAGAGAGAAAGAGAGAGAGAGAGAGAGAGAGAGAGAGAGAGAGAGAGAGAGAGAGAGAAACACCATATTATCAACCACAAGCATTTCCTACCTTGTCCTTGAGAGCTTGTTCTTTCTTGTCTTCCTCCTCAACCACTCTCTCAAGGAGTGTCTTGTACTGGTCCTGAAGAAGTCTCAGGTCACCCTCTATGTGAGCCTTGTCTCGCACCACTTGCTCAAGGGCTATCTCCAAGTCATCAAGCTTTTTTCTTACTGTTTCCAAATCTTTCTGTGCTTGGGGGAGCTTGACCTACCAAAGCAGTCACAGTTATTAATGCAATGACAGCTTGAATTGGATGGATGAGCAAGTCATGTCCATTGTGATTTGATTTTATCCATTGTGTTTACACAAATGGCTCTACAAGAACTCATCACCATGATTTTATATTTCTTATTGTTATTTGTATGAATATCAATAGTAATACTAAGAAACATTTTTCCTAAAAACTCAAGATACATGTGTGTGTGTGTGTGTGTGTGTGTGTGT